AGAAGAAAAGATAATAAATAAGTAAACTGGTGGCTCATGCCTGTAATCCTAGCACTCTGGGAGGCCCAGGCAGGAGGATGGCTCAAGGTCAGGAGTTCGAAACCAGCTTGAGTAAGAGCCAGACCTTGTCTACTAAAAATAGAAAGAAATTAATTGGCCAACTAAAAATATATAGAAAAAATTAGCCAGGCATGGTGGTGCATGCCTGTAGTCCCAGCTACTCGGGAGGCTGAGGCAGAAGGATTGCTTAAGCCCAGGAGTTTGAGGCTGCTGTGAGTTAGGCTGATGCCATGGCACTCTAGCCTAGGCAACAGGATGAGACACTGTCTCAAAAAAAAAAAAAAACTAACAAATAAGTAAACTGGGAGGCCCAACTGAGGAGGCAACATCTGAGCAGGGTACTAAATGATGAACAGGATGCTCATTAGCAGGATGGGGTATGGGGAAGCATATGGCGTCCTGAACTCAGAATAAGAGGCCAAGGAAGTCTTCCTAATGGCAGTGATGTCTAAATTGAGATATGAAGGATAAACAAGAGTCAGTTAAGTGAAGAAAGCTAGGGTGTGGTGAAGAAGTGCTCCAGGCAGAGGAAACAGGATATGCAAAAGCCCAGAAGAGAAGGAATAGAACAATGAGAAGTTTGTGGAAGGAAAGAGGAGGGGGTATTAGATGATCACCAGCTCCCCCTTTGCCTGGTAGAATTGTTTTAATTGTGTAAGAGCTAGTTTCTTTTGTGTACCTTTTCTCTTTTAGTAGCCTCACTGATACACCAGTCCAAACATGTCTGGGCAGCTTTCTCACAGAATACGCCAAAGGAACTCCTGCCATCTGGTGGATGACAGAGAAGACATCACAATGTATATAAAATTAGCATTACTATAGTATCAGGCTGACAGCATCCCAGAAAATGGCAATTTTCCACTCCATGGTTTAAAAGCCCTGATGTGCTAAGGAAGGTTAAGGAAGAAATATGTTAGAAATTCTCAGGCAACATTCCTCTGTAAGGCCAGATGAAGGGAAACCAGGGGAAGAAAAGGAGGAAAGAGAAACAATTACGTACTTGTGTAAACATTGTACTTAGCAAGACTACTCTCACTTCTTCCTTCAAACAGTGAGGTAGGCACATAAACCCCATTTTGCAGATGAGGAAACTCTGACTCACAGTACAGGGAATGGCTGGCCTTGGTTGACTCCTTTATGTTATGCCACCTCCAGTTTGGATTTACTTTTTAATCAACAAAGGCTAAGGAGGCATTACAATGTTCCTCAGTTATGCTATCTACACTTTTAAGTGTAGACCTCAATGAAGATACTTAAGGCCCCATTTAGTTCTCAAAAAACATTGGAATAATCTCTATTCCACTCAATAATATATAGCTGGTCCCCAAAGCAGATAGCCTCAAATGCCACATGTGTCAGAATGGACATAAGTTTCAAAGCCAAAAAAGTGGAATGCATTTCTAATAATTTCATACTATTTCTAGTTTAGAAAGACATTCTTAAAAAAGCAATTTGGATGCAGAAATATTGGCATTCTCAGAACACATCGTGAGTTTTTGGAATTTTTTGATTGTTATGGTGCTTTGGCACATAGTAGGAGCTAAAAACATGACTATAATAATTATAAACCTTTTGCTCACCAGCTTCTTACACAAGGATGTAAAGGGTTATCACAAATAAAATATCCACCAGCTGTTTTCTGTCTCCACTGAGGTCAAAGCAATGGGGACAGAGTACCAGAAAACTAGAGTGGAGAAATTAGAATTGAGATGGATGGCATGGGGGTGGGCAACTACAAAGTCCAAAGCCCACCTTGGGGCTACTCAAAACCTAAAGCATGGCATCAGAATCTTGTTTCCATTTAAAATACATTTTTATGGGGAAGAAGGGTGGTTTACTGAAAAGAGGAATGAGGCATTTCATTTTTCTTATAAAAATTTGTTGTCACTCTCAAATAAATTATATTAAACTTAGGAAAACAGGCACACTTGTTAAGAGAGGTTTTGGCTTAATATCTGTCAAGAAAGCAAATTAATTAAATATAACTTAAATGTGTTCACTCAACAAATTTATTGAGTACCCAACTCAATAAATGCCAGGCACTTGTCTAGTCACATTGTATAGGGGCAAACAAGATATTTCCTCATAATACAAAATAAAGAGATGTAAGATGCTGGTGTTTTTAATTTTTTTAAACAAAAATGATAATGAGTTTCCTTTTTATGACGAGTACATATTTGATATGGCCATTTACTTACGGAGTTTCAAAATAACAAAATGACGATAACGACACTCATTGTGAAAGCATTCCTTTCACAAACCTCGGGGAAAAGTGTATTTTAAAGGAGCATTGCTAATGCTTGTCTAAGTATTACTCATACACATACACATACAGTGTGACTGGTTTTGTTTTTAATCAGAGCATTTGAGTGTAGGAAGATAGTGATCAGCAACATGCCAGAAGAAATAAAGAAATTTCTACTAGTCAAAAAAGCATGAAGATGAGTGTCTAGAGCAATTTGGAGGTGGCTGAATTCCCCAGGCCCCTGCTCCTTTTTCTTAAGGACGGAGCTAAAATATAATAACAACAATGTGAGGCTACAGAGCCATACATCTGTTTCTGATTTACTTTCTTGGTCTTGTCCTAGTTGGAGTCATTTCCAGATCATATGGTACAGTCTTTAGAGAAGTTATGGGAGGAATTTACACAGAAAGAGAATACATAATTAAATACACATATAAAAACACATCATCAATAGAATGTGGATAAGGAACATATGCAAAAAATTCTGATTAGAAAATCATAAAGTGATTCTTCCATTTTCTGGTATGTCAACCCATAGCTGACAGTGTTCAGTTATTCTCTTCTGATTTCAGGATGTCAGAAAACTATCCCTTGATTTACCTTCTTGGTTCCCTACTAGAGTGACATTGGCATTCTGTAAACCTAGAACTAGAGATGAATCTAGAAGTTATTTCCTATTTTCCTTCAAATTTTAAGATTAAATTTTCTAGTGCTAAACCTGTTACTTTCCTTAAATTGCTTCTTTAGCATCCAAGATGGAATCTGCTAATGGCTAGGACATAGTGGTTTAAATTCAAAAGGGTAGTTTTGCACATGGTGCATGCTTAAATAGAAATTCCAAACTATTTACATCTGTTTTGTAGTCATCTTTCTTGTTTTATAAAAGCTATGTATACCCTCTCCAAAGAAGTTTTTATTTTGCTGATTTTGAACTCTTTTCCATATATTGTTAATTTTTTAAAGCACTCAAAACAGATGTCAAGGACAATTTTGTCCTTTTAGTTTATTTTTTTTCTACTGAGAAAAAATTAACAGGTCAAATTAAGCTCCTGAATTATGTTGCAATTACTTTGCTGAACTTTACTTTTATAATTTTCTCACCCTGTTTGCAGTTCCTTTCCTAGAGGATCATGCCTTTTCACTTTAGATATCTAAAATGTCCTTATTTACTAAATACTTGTCTTAGCACTGACCTTGTGGTTACTTTGTTGAAAACCTTGCTGTAATATGACACAGCATTAACTACTTCTGATTACTTATCTGGTAAGTGGTTGATAACATCCACCTTTCAAGAAAGGAAAACAGTTCAGACATATAATTTGACAAAATTTGGAAACAGCAACATCAGTTCTAAAGACATAGGAAAAAATCTGAACCGAGTTGACATTTCTGTCTCGTGTTAGATAGTGTTCTTTAAAGACCACAGACAACATGCACAAACGTAGGCGGAAACAATACATCTGCAGACACTGGCAGACAGCATTACCCGCCAAATTTGGCCACAGTTTCTTAAGATAAATAACTTTTCAGTGACGTGCAGGGCTGAAATTACATAAACAACAAAAATTACTAAGACCTAAGCCTACGAGTTTTGTGGGTTTCAAGATTTTATGCAATCAATATTCTGACATCTGTAACACAATTTTGTCCCTAAAATACTGCCAGAAACAGTAAGACAGCAACATCAGTTGATAACTTTTGTTCAGATTTTGAGGTAAACTATGTTTAATTCTTTGGAATAATCATTCTTGAGCCACATTCTTATTTGGGTCATTAAGACAACCATAATCATCTATCTCCTTATAAGGAAAAGTTTCATTAAAAGTGCTGGAGAGCTGCAGCCTATTTCAAAAACCAATACTTGTAGCTTGTTATATTAATAGTTCTAAATGTCTAAGGCTTATTAAATGAAAACACCCTTAATAGTTTTATCTCAAGTCTGAGCAATAAGAATTTTTAAAAGCTGACAATGAAAAATAGCTGAATATTCTGATAACTTCCATAATAATAGAAAATGGTACTAGTTACCTTCTTAGTCTTTCCCTTGAAATGACTGTTTTGCCTGATTAAACTCTTTTAGGGAGATATCAGAAGACTTAAAAACCGGAAGAGTATGCATATGGAAGCTCCTAATTCTGCACATTGGGAATATTTGCCAAAAATTGAGGCAATATTCTCCAGTGGTATTGGAATTCCCTGAGAACTGATTTGTGACACCTGGTATTTTTTAAACAGTTTGACTTGACTTCCTCTCTTGCATATCACTCAAGTTCTGCCCTAAAAGTGACATTAATGGAAAGTTAAAACAATAGCTCTGAATTTTATATTTTCTTAGAGAATGTTTCTCTCCCTGCCCTTTTGGTAAATTTTTCTTCCCCTTAATTTTCTGAGTATATGTTAACTTGACTGTAAGTCAAAAAGTTTAGCTGTGTAAAGCTAAACTTTAGCTTCATTTTGGTTACTCAGGTGGTTTACTGTTTTAAAGTGTGACAAATATCCTATATATTAAGTCAATGAGCACCTTTTCTATAGAAAAATCTACTATCTTTCTTTTATTACTTAGGCTAGGCCAAATTTGTTTACATACTACCTGGCTATTTGCTAAAGAGAGATCATTTATCAATCTCAAAATACTTCCAGCGGCCAATACTTTTTTTTTTTTTTTTAAGAAAAAAAGCTATCATTTTCAAATTAGTCTGAAATAAAAAATATAAAAGGATAACTTTATTAAACATACAAATTCAAGAACATTCAAGCTTTCTTTAAAATATTACAACATAAGAGAGAGCAGACCAATGGTAATGGTTTATACATACATATAAAATATACTTACCAAATAGATTAGGTAGGCATACTGACCTATCGATCCTCAAAGTAAAATGAATATATGTCCCTAAGCTGTTTCTAAACTTTATGAACTACTAAATGGGAAAATGTCGGCTGATACACCCTCCCAGACTTATTTCCCATAGGAAGTTTCATATGCTGTCATTAAGATATATCATTTTGGAACATAAATAATATATAAACCTCTATCGTAGGTCCTTTTCTTCTTTGCCTACCTCATTACTTCTCTTCCCAACCCACCTAAGACTCTAGTTATTATTCATCTCTGAGCAGGACCAGTTAGTCAAAATAGGATGTAGAGATTTGCATGGCTCTAGGCAGGGGAAAATCTCCAAAATTTTTTATTGTGTTTACTTCTTCTTTTAGCAGCTACCTAATTATATCTAAGACGGTGTGAAAAAACATATATACTCAAAAGAAAAAAGAAAAGCACTTTACACTATCAGTCTTCACCTCAATCCTGCAGCTTCCCCTTATCAACCACTGTATGCATTTTAAGTTCTCAATTGTAAACACATGAAATATTTATTAAAGCACCAAGAAACTTTGTGGTAAGCACCATATAAGCACCATATAATTTCCAAAGAAAATGTTTCAGGTGGAGGCAGAGAAGGAAGAAAAATCAAGAGAAAACATGGCAATTCACACAAAAACGCTTTCATGAAATATTTTTTTAAAAGTGGATAAATTCAATTTTAAGTGATATTTCACCCCATGACCAACATTTTCTCATTGTTTTAGTGTTCATAAAAGGCAAAATAATACCTCTAAAAAGGAAATTATCTTCCTTACCTACAAAATTGTTAAGAGCACCAGCACCAGGTTGAGTTTCCCAAAAGTATACATAGCTCCTAGCTCTAAGAATAAGTAAACTAAGTCTCCTGACTCATTTACTCTCTATCACATCCATTAATTTTAATCAATTAAAATGAAAACTGCTCCTTTTTCTGTATATGGCAGTGAAAAGTAGTCAGGGAAACTAAAGATCTGATTCTACTTGGGTTGGGTAAACTTAAAGAAGATTATGTTGTTAGTACAAAGAACTAACCCTGGCATTTAAAGTACTCTTAATCTGAATTTTAGAATCTGTCACCAGAGCAAATACTAAACTTTTAAAATAAATTATTCACTTTGCTCTGGCCTTTAAATGGCTATTACACAGAACTCTTTTTATTCCACCTCACAATGCATAACAGTAAACATTAAATGAAGAACCACAATTATAAGCTCATGTCTTTAAAAAATGGATGCAACAAAGCTTCTTCTGCTGTTATTCTTGAAGCTGGATTTAGATCTAGAAGTTTATCAAGCAGGTCATAAGCTTCATCAGGTACCTCATCCCAGCCTTCTAAATTGGTATTACACTCATTAAAATGACTCCCACAGCCATTACTGTCCCCTTTATATAATGAAATCCCTGAGTGTTGTGCTTGAGGTATTTGGATGAGGTGAGAAGCTTTATGGTCAGTCTTCTCTGAAACAGCTGGGTGAAGAGAAGCAGGCCTTTGTTGTGTATCACTTGTTAATTTGGGAGTGTTGGAATCTATACCCCTAAGTCTCTCACAGAGTTTTCTCAAATCTTGTGCTGGAACTTCTTTGCTACATAATACTGATTTGCCTAAAAGAAAAAAAAACGCACATTTTATTATATTATTTAAATATATCAGAAGCTTCTCTCATGAGAAACATACAAGTCCAACCATGTGCTTTATGGATATATACACACACTGGGTATGGGACAGAATACCTAGACAGAACACCAGACACTCACTTGACTCTGCCAACTTTTCCAGCTTCCTCTTATCCTTCTGTAATCTTTAACTAGCTGCAGCTCCCACTGCCATCCCCCTTCCATGCCTCTAACTACATGACTCCTATCTTTGTCTAGGGTGCCCCATTCCTCTTATGTGCCCAGGACACTCCCACTTACATCACCATTCAGCTCAAGAATCACTTCTACTCTGGGAAGCTGATGCAGGCGAATTGCTCGAGGTCAGGAGTTCGAAACCAGCCTGAGCAAGAGCAAGACCCTGTCTCTACTATAAATAGAAAGAAATTAATTGGCCAACTAATATATATATATAAAAATTAGCCAGGCATGGTGGCGCATGCCTGTAGCCCCAGGTACTTGGGAAGCTGAGGCAAGAGGACTGCTTGAGCCCAGGAGTTTGAGGTTGCCGTGAGCTAGGCTGACGCCATGGCACTCACTCTATCTTGGGCAACAAAGCGAGACTCTGACTCAAAAAACAACAACAAAAAAGAATCACTTCTGTGAGGACTGACACCTTCATAGAGAACTGATCATTTTAAGCTTCTGTCGTATTCTGGGAAGAGTTCTATTATTAGTTTTGCTATACTATATTACAGCTGATAAAACATATGTCTGTCCCTCCTACTAGACAATGAACTCTTTGAAGACGGGCTGACTTACTCAATCTTTGAACTCTGCAAAACCCAGACAATGGCTAATACATATTAAGTGAACAGTTAATGTCTTTTGGACTAGACAAAAAGGCACCATTAGAGACACATCATTAGAGATGCTGTTCTTGACAAACCTACCCTAAGTAACGGAGCCCTCTTCACTCCCTTCTTCCTTTCACCTTTCTTAATACCACTCCTCTCTGATAGTATATATTTATTTATTTTCTCTCCTTCACTAGAATTTAAACTCTGTGAGAACAGAGACTCACAATATACCTGGCACACATGAAGCCCCAATAAATGTGTCTGAATGAAGTAATAAACAAACCAGATCTCAGTTTTTTAAAATCTTTAAGTATTAAACACGGGCAAAAATAAGTTAACTGCACAAATGACAATCATATATTACTTTTGCCTTATATTTCCTTATTAAACAGAAATGTGGCTCTAAACAATGAGTACTGGAACATTTAGATTCCTTTCTGGGCTATATAGATTGTCAACAAAACAATTAATCTGGCTCTGGATGATAAAAAGTTACCTTTACATATTCTAAGCCAACTAGTGGAGGCGACAAGCAGGAAGGAAACAAATTACCCAAAACTAAGTTTATTGAGGATATAATATATCAATCCTTTTTTATTTTTAAATCGATTCTATCATTCTTATTCTCTCTAGAAAATCATAGCCAGAGGGAAATAATCATATAATTTTATTCCTTAATTAGCTTGCTCTGAAGTCATGAAATAATGAACAGTATATGTTATAGCATGCCCTCGAGCTACATAATATGCTTAAATTACTTTTTTACCTGACCAAAAAGAGGGCTCATTTAAAATATTCAGGAAAAATAATTTAAACTAACACATTCGATCAAAATATATTATTACAGAATACTATGTGTCAGGAATTTGTTTTAGCTCAAGGTTTTTCTTGTTAATATATTCAACAGAATTCAACAAGTAGTTAATGACAACCCACAATGGGGCCAGGTCTAAGGGTTAAGGACAGAGAGGGAGGTTACAGACAAGAGAAGTAAAGGTGCTCTCCTTGCTATTCTCAGCCAAGTCATTTCTGTAAGTTATAAAGGGGAGGAACACTTGTGTTTGTTGAAATTTTGAGTCTTCTGTACTCGGTCCAAAGTTATAGTGAGATCTGACTGAAGTAACTACAGAAGTCATACTAATAAAACTGAGAAAAGTGCTATATTAGCTTTATTCTTTTTTTCATATGATAATTATTACAATGATAAATCTCAAAGCTGTTGCCTGCTATCATGGCACTTGCTCTGGAGTACTTTTGTGCCAGATATTGTACTTCCATTCTTGGCCCTGACTCTAACTTTGACTACCACTGGAGGAGATTCAAGCTCTTCAACAAAATATTCTAGTGCTAGCTGATAAACTTCATGTTCATAAAGTTCTCACAAAGTTATTCAATAGTAGATGAAAGTTTTCTCAATTAGCTGAGAATACATATACTCATGTTATGTTTATTATCATGTAAGAATACCATTTCTAAGATACCAATCTTGCTTTCCATTCCTGGTCACTTTCCCCTTGTATGTATTATGTCATCCTATTATCCTCAAATAAAATTTTTTTGCAATAGGTACAAGATAGGTACAAACTGTAGACTGACTTTGCTGTAGAAACATATTTTGGCAAGCCTTTATTATGATGAGGCTTTCTTCACAACTACCACTAAATTTTTCTTGTGGATTAGATCACAGCACTGGTGCCTAAGCAAGGGGCAATTAATTTTGTTCTTAACCTCAAGTAGTTCTTGGTCAAAATCAATTGTTTTTTTCAAACTAACAAGCCTGGAGCCTTCCTAACTATCATATTTTTCTGAATCACATTTTCCAGGAATGAGTATTACAGGGGAAGCATATATATTTCTTAAAGATTCCCAGATAATTCTCATATGCATCCCTGGTTATGATCCACTAATTCTGGGGCTGAGCACAAGGCAGCCCAGCTACTTTTGAGGTAGTCTGATTGAAACTTTGTACCATAGGGGTACTACACATTGCATGATAGTAAGCTGACTCAATCACATTCACTCTTTAAAAAATATTAACTATAAGTGTGCTTGGAAAATAAACACAAGGTAGGCACATGAGTTCAGGCTGTTGGTCAAAGCAAGGCTGAGATAATTCTCAGTTACCCTGTGAAATACAATACATATCCTAGGCTTATAGAAGAATTTATGTGGCTGAGATAACGTCCCATGTCCAACAAATACTTACAAAAATACTCCATCAGTTTAAGTGTTTTGCTTCTTTGCTACCCTAAGGAATCTGACAACTAACACACTTCTAGTCTCTTGCCTATTGTAGCCCTTATTATACTATATTACAATTAACTGTTTACTTGTTAGTATAGACTAAGATTACTATAGGCAAGGACATTTGAGTACCAAGAAGTAGTATACCTGATGTCTAAATACAATAAAGAAACATACTATTAAAAAATATTTATGTAATAAAATCAAACCACAACTAAAGGGAGTTAAGATTTTACTCCTTATTCTTTTGTTTAAGATTAAAGTTGAACTTTAAATACTGGAGCAGTATAGTACTTTGTGCTTAATAAAATTAAATGATTATATGTATAGAGGAGAGGTGATGATAAGTTATTTTCTTATACAAATGTAATTTACTTTCAAGCGACTAAGAGATTTATACCTAAGATTAGAGAACTTTATAAACACCGAATATGTTTATTTATAAAGAGAATTTCATAATAATTTGTTGAGTGATCTGTAGGAGATAATCAAAGGCATTTGTTTTGTTATATAAAACTGCTTACCAAAAGTTTTAGCAGCCTGGATAGTTTCCCTGGATCCCCGAATTGTCATAATTTGAGCCAAAGCAGTTAAATCATCACTTGCTTTATAAAATGGGTATCGTCCACTAAGCAGAGAAAGAAATATGACACCTGCAGACCACATGTCAATTGCTGCAACAGAAGACAAATTTTAAAAATAAATTCCAAATTTATAATTTTATCAAAATAGTTCTCAACCTTTACTATGCATTAGAATTGTCTTGGGAACCTTAAAAAATTCAAAGGCCCAGGCTTGATCTCTCAGAGATTCTGACTGAATAGCTCTGGAGTAGGGCTCAGGCACTGGTATCTTTCAAGAGTTCCTTAGGTGATTTCAACCAGGATTGAGAATCCTTAATCCAACAACCTCCCTACAAAATACAATGTTTTCTTTCTTAAACAACATGTTAGTAAGTTTAAAAAGATATTTCATTGTTAGAAAACAGTAAGTAAATGTGCAAAGAAATAAAAAATAAGATCAAAAGACATCTAAAAATAACTATGTGGGAAAAATATCTGGATGCTCCTCAAGAATTACATACTATAATACTGAAAGTGTTTTCATTTTAGTGAAAAGTAATGAACATTAGCAGCTCTTCTTCAGCTAGATGCTAACACCAACTATTTTTTTTCCTTTTTTTTGAGACGAAGTCTCACTCTGTTGCCCAGGCTAGAGTGCCATGGCGTCAGCCTAGCTCACAGCAACCTCAAACTCCTGGGCTCAAGCAATCCTCCTGCCTCAGCCTCCCAAGTAGCTGGGACTACAGGCATGTGCCACCATGCCCAGCTAATTTTTTTTATATATATACTTTTAGTTGTCCAGCTAATTTCTTTCTATTTTTTTTTTTTTTTAAAGTAGAGATGGGGTCTTGCTCTTGCTCAGGCTGGGCTCAAACTCCTGACCTTGAGCAATTTTCCTGCTTCAGCCTCCCAGAGTGCTAGGATTACAGGTGTGAGCCACCATGCCTGGCTGCTAACACCAACTCTTGCTTTAAAAACTTTAATTTCCAGAATTCTAGCAGTTAAGATTAAGAACAGCTCAGCTTCATGCTAAAAGCTCTTTTTGTTTTTTTTTTTCCTTGTAGGGACATCTTCTCTCCTAATTGTTGACCTCCTAGATTCACCAATTTATTTGCTCTCTATTTCCTTGGTCACTGTATCACTTGCCTTTCTTAGTTCTCTTTGTACTTCTGCCTGCTCCTTCAATGTTTTCTCTAAGACTTACGTGCTGAGGTTCCTCCAAGTTCTAGCATCTTCCCTTGTATACGCTCCCTGACTGGTCCATCCAGTTCATGACTTCAACTACCATTTATATAATGATGACACTCAACCATATTGCTAGCTCAGTTCTTTTCCTAAGCTCCAGTCTCAAGCTTTACTCTGTTGGACATCTCTATCTGGACGTCCCCTAAAACATCTCAAACCAATCATGCCTCAAACCAGTCTCACACTTCCCTATTATAAACCAGTTACTACTCCTTTATTCTCCACCTTGGTTACTAACATACATCCAAGTCCCCTAAGGTAGGAATCTGGTAAACATTCTGGATGCCTTATTCCCTCACCATCCCACACCCAAATTCCACCTAATTACACACCAAACTCTGCCTTTCCAATCCTTCACCTTTCTTTTCATTCCTATTACCAATGCTGTCATTCACACTTTCATCATCTCTCAACTGGACCACTGCAGAGTATATCTCTAAAATCTATCCTCTCTGCATATCTGCCAGAACGATCCATCTAGAATACATTACCATCTTTTTCCCTTGAATAATTTCCCAAAATCTACATCTACAGTATATAGTTCAAGCTGTTTAACAAACGTGATCTGACTTTGTCTACCTCTTTCCAGGTTTATTTCTTACTATTATTCAACTTGCATCTTAATATTCTAGCAACACTAAACTTGTATAGTTTCATATATGACCAGATTATTTCTTGAGTTCTTTGGCTCATGACTCAACAGCTAACCTTCCACCCTAATTTACATTTTCATCTCAGAGGTCACCTATTCCATGAATTCCCTTCCATAATCCCTTTGGGTTAGGAAAGTTAGATATCCCCTAAACACCTTGTATAGTTTTATCATCATATTCAACAGGTTATAATTATTTGAGAGTGTGCCCTTAGAGTGTGAACAGATGGTCTCAATCATTTTTGTATCATTAGTAAGCACAGAACAGACATATAATGAATGAATCCATTTCTTCAAAGCCCATAATCCAAGTGAATAGCAGGTTTATCTATTCATTCAACAAGATGTTTCCTGGGTTCTAGCTCCATGACAACTTTTTAGATTATAGAAGATTTTTCTCTTTTTCAAAATCTTTTTTTTTTTTGAGACAGGTTCTCACTCTGTTGCCCAGACTAGAGTACAGTGGTGTCATCATAGCTTACTGCAACCTCAAAAGAGTCTCCCACCTCAGCCTTCCAAGGTAGCTGGGACTACAGGCATACACCACTACACCTGGCTAATTTTTCTGTTTTTTTTAGAGATGGGTCTTGCTCTGTTGCTCAGCCTGATCTCGAACTCCTGGTCTCAAGTGATCCTCCCACCTGGATCTCCCTAAGTGCTAGGATTATAGGCGTGAGCCATGGTGTTTGGCCTCAAAATCTTTTAACTGCTATTATATTGTTTACATAATAACAAAAAGTAATTTGAATCAAACATAATTATATCTGCATCATAGAAAACTTTTGAGTTATTAGGAAAACAGATAAAACTCTGCAAGTCTTAAGTTAGCAAAAACTATTCAATGTGATATTTTCCCTCCCAAACAGATGTTAACATTCCTGGTAAAATCATCTTGCAAATAAATAAGCAAAATGTAATCTATGGAAAAATTTGTTTAAAAAAAAGCAACACTAGGATTAAAATCTTTTCTTAGTATTTATAATTGAAAATTTTTAAAAAAGAGAAAAAAATAGGATTAAAAACTTTCATAAAAAACGCTATTATCGCCGGGCGCGGTGGTTCACGCCTGTAATCCTAGCACTCTGGGAGGCTCAGACGGGCGGATTGCTTGAGGTCAGGAGTTCGAAACCAGCCTGAGCAAGAGCAAGACCCCGTCTCTACTATAAATAGAAAGAAATTAATTGGCCAACTAATATATATATAAAAAAATTAGCCGGGCATGGTGGCGCATGCCTGTAGTCCCTGCTACTCGGGAGGCTGAGGCAGAAGGATTGCTTGAGCCCAGGAGTTTGAGGTTGCTGTGAGCTAGGCTGACGCCAGGGCACTCACTCTAGCCTGGTCAATAAGCGAGATTCTGTCTCAAAAAAACAAACAAACAAACAACAAAAAAACGCTATTATCTCAAAAATGGGAATGCCACCCTGCTAGAGCTGCTTATGTAATTTAATGAAAAGCAGAACTCAAATATTAGTCATAAATAGACAAAGATCATAAAATAAAATATATATGGAACAATCCATTTGAATTGGGTTATATATTTCCAGTGCAACATACCTGTAGTTTGATTGGGGCACTTTGTCAAGACCTCTGGTGCTCTGAATCCTGGTGTACCTGCCCTAGGGGCAACCTGCTGACGCCTTATGATGAAATAAGATTTCTCTAGTTATGTTAAAGTTCAACTATTTAAGTCCAAAATATAACATTTATCAATTTAGTTCATAATAAATTTTGCCTCGATACCTATATAAATAAAAGTTATTATAAAGTAAATCTAGCATGATGAACATCCTAGATTTTGCTTCTATTGGTTTTTCCTTCCCCCCTCTACTAGCTCCCTAGATTTACTCCAAGAAAGGTTTTATGGTAACTTCTGAGCATAACAATAAGCAGTAGATACTAAAAGCCATAATGGAAAAATAGAATACAACAGGAATTCATAAGTATAAAAATTCATTTCTGTTTGAGGTAATTAATTACTGATTTAGTTATTCACTTATATATTTGAGTGAATCAGGAAAGCCTTGATGAAAGCTAAGTTTTGAAGGAAAGGAAGGAATTTATGAGGCAAAGAGTAGAAGATGGGAATAAGAGAAGAGCTCTACTACTTGGTTCTGATTATTTCACACAGGCAGGAATAGAAAGAAAACAGGAAATATTACATTAGCAAGCAAAATGTGCAACTCTAAGCTTCTAAAAAGGCTATTCTCCCCACCACCACACCATTTGCATTAAGAGTAAATGTATTTTCCAAAGAGCATGTCCATGTCAAATGAACAATATATGACAATAGTTATCCCTTGCTCTTTAAGGTACTGCTCTATATCAGTGCCTGCGTAGTTTACAGATCTATTAATATGCTCTTCCCTTTCACTCACTAAATCAATTGCCCACCAAAATCAATGCAATTTCTAACCCTGTCTGGCAGCATGGTGGTGATTTTATAATATCATCAAAACACATTACCTTGAAAGGCAAATACTGCAAACTTTATCTGTTGCATAGCAGTCACAGGTCAGGCTAACTGGGCAAGAACTGGCAGTTTTCCTCACCACACCACTATTCATAACTTTTGTAGAAATAGCTTTCTTTTTTGTTGCTAACTTTCTAGATAGTACATCCACAGTCTTTGACTGCTTCATGAGCTGTAAAAGAAAAGTCAAATTTTCTATTTTCATGACATTTAACATAATGTTCTCAAGTGTTAGTATGGCAAAAAGCAATAGTGGAAGCATAACTTTAAAAACTGCTAACGTCTGTTGGATTGTAAATTAACAGCTGTCTATTAAAATGTTTAAGACCTTTTTGGGTTTTTCTGTAGAATAACCTTATGTTAAAATTTACTAATTAGTTCTAGTTTGGAAAATATTTGACTTATACTTTATTAGAACTTTTCTTGATATATTACAAAAGTATAAAACAGTAACATTCTAGTGTCTAACTCCATTTCAGAACTGTAAACTGCACAATTACATTGGCTAAAATCAGTTTTAATGTATTAGCTCATGCTGTCTAGCTGTTGCAAGATATAAGTCAATTTAAAATCATCTAACATTGATGATAATTTTGTTAACTTTACAAACATCTTTATGCTATCAACCATGTGTCAGATCTATGTTTAAGTGTTGGAAGCTCACATTCTAGCAATGACAGAAAAGGCCTTACTGTTCTAAATGTTCTTCTAGGAAAACAGCAACAATAGTCAGCCAACCAAAAATGATAAAAAAATTCCATCAGAAAAGTTCAGAGAAAAACTGGAGAAAACAAAAGTTTTGACTAATCCTCAAAGCAATATCTCTGCCAAAGCCAAACTCTACTTTTAAAAAATTGCTAATAATAAATGTTAATCTAGCAATTACCTAAATTTTCTTCAGTGTATGACTGATCATTGCACTATTAAGCTACATTACTTACTTTCACTGCAGGGCTCTCATGTGAAATGGAGCTGTGTATATTGAAATTTCTTTCTCCAAAAACAGAGCGCTGGGCAGAAAGGCCTACAGATCCCTCCTACAATACCAACAAAAACAAGGAAAATAAGGATTATATCTGTAACACTTTCTGCCAGCTGTACTCTGCCACAGTTTTGAAAGAGTTAAGTGACATGAAATAAAAACAGCTGCATCCAAGTCATTCTCAGGCACCAAAACACTTCTGTGAAAGGAGAAAATAGTCTAGATAGAACTTAACACCCATACACAATGTTATCATAGTCCACGAATATATATAACTAAAAAAATTCAAAAACCACCTGCATGGATGTTACATTTTGCTGTGCAGCTAAAATGGAGATAGACACTTCAGAATTTTCCCCCTATAATTTCTTTCTAATTTCTTTCAAAAAGGATAATTAATCTGAACTTTTTAACATGCAGGGAAAATGTATTATTTTCCATTTTTGTCATATAATTTTGTAATACATAATGACAAAGCATTATAAATTAACAAAATAAATTTTCGTTTTGAAATAATGAGCAAAATGATTCAGTGTAAATCTTAAGCATCTAATCAACTGAACACATATAGTGAATGTAAAAAAAAGTTTTTTAAGTTACAAGTACTATCCTAGTATTATATCTCCCTCTATTGGTAGAAGGAGTACATTTCTCAAACAGTGTCAATACTTAAGAAATAAAAGAGGTAGAACCTTTCCATCTTTTCCTTGTTTAATCTGAATTTGTGCATTTGTGTAGGGCCTTTTAACAGAAGTTTTTGTGGTAGACTGTTGATCTAGCTCCTTAGGTGCCGGGCCACTCAATGCAATCTTATTTCCCGTGATTACGTGCGATTTGTTTTGTGAACAACTTTCCTGCTGAGCGTCAGACTGGACAAATTTGAGAAGCTCTATTTTCGTATCATGGGTTCCTTGGGCCAAACCAAAGTCTACCAAGGCGTACCTAAGAAACAAAATTAAGTATTTTTACTTCTTTGTTAACAAGTAAACCTTAGTCACATCATAATACCTTCAAACCATCCTCATATAAAAACGGTAATTCTTTTGGGGAGCAATTCACAATTTATAACATTCCTGAAAAAGGAAAAGAAAAATAACCTTTCCAGACAAAGTAAGAATAGCTCACTAGGATTGAAAATTAAGGAAGATGTATCCCATCATCAATCAATTGATCTTTTCTCTCTTTTTTCCAATGGCATGTGCTGATAAGGCAAAAAGAGCAATATACAATATAAGCACAGTTCTTTGTTCTCTGATGGTGTCAGAGATAGCATCATAGTAGATAATCTCTAATTAAGCAAGTTAAAAAAATAAAATCATGATTTTAAAATTCAATTTAATTAAAGAGAAAAGTCATGGGTATAAAAGCTCAAAAGAGAAGTTATAGTTTTAATCTACTTACCATATTCAATATGATCCACTATATAAAGAGCAGTATTTATTTTCAGCTTATAATGCCTCTCTGTATATAACAGGCATTAAAAATATATACAGATAAAAAAATAGAATGTTAGTGTTGAAACAGGAAATTAACTACCGTGTGATTCAATCTCCTCATTTACAAGAAAAGAAAAATCAAGTCCAGAGATAAGAGACATGTGTTAGGTTAAAAAGGATTAGACTAGAGGGCAGGGGGTTGAAAAAAAAAGCTACACCTTTTTTAGCTAAGCGCCATTTCCACCAAACCATGGTACATCTAATGATGTACACTGCTTTACTAATACAATTTTATCTTCTTTACTGCATTTCCCTTACCAATTACAACGAAAATTTAAAACAGAAATAACCTGTTTATGGCTGTTGCAATATGTACTATGCCTAAGAGATGTAGGTTGGAGGACACAATGTAGCAGATATGTAGGATAAATAAATCTAGAGAGATACTGTACAGCTGTAGTCCCAAACCCCTGGACTGCAAACCAGTACCAGTCCTGTGACCTGTTAGGAACCCAGGCTGCACAGCAGGAGGTGAGCAGTGGGTGAGCCAGCACAGCTTCATGTGTATTTACAGCCACTCCCCATCGCTCACATCACCACGTAAGCTCTCTGCCTCTTGTCAGATCAGCGGCAGCATTAGATTCTCATAGGAGCATGAACCCTACTGTAAACTGCACATACCAGGGATCTAAGTTGTGAGCTCCTTATGGGAATCTAACAACTCATGAGCTGAGGCAATGATGCTACTTCTAGGGAGCAGCTGCAAATACAGATTATCATTAGCAGAAAGGTTTGACTGCATAATAAATGTAATGTGCTTGAATCATCTGGAAACCATCTTCCCCTTCCTCCACTCCAACCGTGGAAATATTGTCTTCAACGATAACCGGTCCCTGGCACCAAAAAGGTTGGGGACCGCTGTACTGTACATGACATTCATACTAAACGAATTATTTTAACTGCTTTTGCTAGAAAAACAAACAAACAAAATGGGTAACTGAGATAATGGGTATATTTATTGCTTTACTATGCTAACCTTTGTTATTATGTATCCCATAACATCATGTTGAATAACTGAAATATAGACAATTTTTATTTAAAAAAAAGAGAAATGGCCAGGAGCAGTGGCTCATCCCTATAATCCTAGCACTCTGGGAGGCTGAGGTGGGAGGATCACCTGAGGTCAGGAGTTTCAGACCAGCCTGAGCAACAGTGAGACCCTGTCCCTATAAAAAATAGAAAACTTAGCAAGGTACAATGGTGTGCACCTGTAGTCCCAGTTACTTGGGAGCCTGAGGCAGGAGGATCACTTGAGCCTAGGAGTGTGAGACTGTAGTGAGCTATAATGAGGCCACTGCACTCTATCCTGGGGCAACAATGCAAGACCCTGTCTTCATAAATAAATCAATAACAAAGAGATAGAACCCATAGCACAAATTCACTCAAGTGTAAATCATTTCTAATAACTCTTCATACTTACTTTTTCAGGCGCCTGTTATACAAAAAATTGCTGGGCTTAACATCACGGTGAACAATACCAAACTGATGAATGCGTTTCAAAGCTTTGAACAGATTAAACATATATTCTCGTACTTCTTGAAAGGAAAGAGAATTCAAAATGTCCTAAAAGAAAGTTATGAATAAAATGAATAATGAATGAAAACTGTTTTCAATTAAATATTTAGCTAATAAAAATTCAAGAAATATTAAAACCTACCAAAAAGGACTCATGCTCCAGATATGGCATAGCAATAACCACATGATCATTTTTCCTAAAGCAGTATTTAACTCCCATGACATTGTCTTGCCCCCTAGTGGAAAAAAGCACAATGAACTTTAGAGGAAAGGTCAAATGAACTGAAACTTTATGCCTAATTTTTAAAATGTAATTTTAGCAATATATGCATATTTGCTAGAAAACTGGCTTAAAATCATCATCATAGAAGATAGTATAAACATTTAAATGACTTGTATTAAAAAGTCTTCTTTTAAAGAAAAATAGCACCAGTTACGAAGTTACTATAATTTGAACATGAGATAATTATAGTTTTAATTGGGGAAGTGGCAGAATGAGAAGGAAAAGATAAACAAGAATGAATTGACATAGTAGCAGGTAAGATGGTAATAGTAATAAATTTAAAAATAATAATAGCTAACATTTATTGAACATTCATTGTATGCTAAGCTTTGATCTAAGCACTTCACACCTATTAACAAATTCACTTAATCTTTACAATAACCCTATAAAAGTGCTATTATTCCCTCACCAGATAAAAAATTGAGACAAGAGGAAGTTAAGGAACCTCCCCAAGGTTACTAAAGTAGTTAGTCATGGAGCCAGGTTCTGAATCCAGGCAGTGTGTATTCTAGATTTATGCTCTTAATCACAACACTACACTACTTCATAAAATAAAAGATGCAAAAAGTAGCGTGAAGTTGATTTCCACAGTTGAGCCTAAGTAAAGCAATGTAGAGAACAAAGTAGAGAAACCAGGAAAAGAACCATCATAAGCCTGACCTCATCATTTTGATAGAGATATCTAGATACGAGACTAAAGTTTAGTCACTAAACTGTAAGTGAGAAGTCAAATGAGAAGCCAGTTAGAATACTTTCAGAGAAGTGATTATTAAGTTGTGGAAATTAGTAGAGAAAGGAAAATGCTGAGCTTTGGAAAAAGTCTCAAGTTGGAGAGCAAAATAAAAAAAGGGGCACCAAGGTGACTTATGAAGGAAGTAGGGATCAGCATGGCAGTCAAACAGTAAGGACCATTGGAAGGCTGTATGGTAAAGAGGAATTACCGTGTTTCCCCAAAAATAAGACCTACCCATAAAATAAGCCCTAGCAGGATTTCTAAGCATTTTTGCACAATATAAGCCCTACCCCAAAAATAAGACCTAGTGATGGGTGTGGCTACACAGCATATACACACAGCCCATGTAGGAGCGAAAGACGAGCAGCCCTTCTTATCTGCCCCATTGTGACAGCTACTATCCCAGAGGTGACTGGGAAGGTGCAGGCAGCCCCACCAACAAGGTCGGCTCCCCCTGTCAGGTGCCGGCCATCCTGTGTGTGCTGCAAGCTGAGGCTCTGAGGGGAAAATAACACATCCCCTGAAAATAAGCCCTAGTGGTCTTGAGGAAAAATAAATATAAGACCCTGTCTTATTTTCAGGGAAACACGGTAACTAGTAATTTTTCAGAGACCAATTTAAGTGGAAAGAAAGAGGCAAAACAAGAGTTAAGGAGGGAAAATATGATACATTGGAAGCAGAGCATAAAGACAATTTCCTGATTGCATTGCAAAATCAGATGACAACATTTTTAGCATGCACTTTTTTAAAGCACAGAGAAAGAAAAAGTGGTAGAGGGAGATAGCTGAAATACGGAAAAAGGAATGATCACATTCAGAGGACTAGAATATATGCAATCATGCCTTAGAGAGGCCACCTCCTCTTCTTGTCTTCTATAATGTAATAGAGGGATTAAACAAATAAATAGGCTCATTCATTCTTTCATTTGATGAATACTTAGTGGGCATTGTTATTTGCCTTTAGGGATTATAAACAAAAAGGATGTAATGGTGAATAAAATTAACACAGTTTCTGTCTTCATCGAGTTTACCATCTATTGGACAATACAGGTAATAAGGTAACTAATAATGACAGATTATACCAAGGGTTTTGAAAGAAATCAAAAGGTGCTATGACAATAAAAAAAATAATTTAATTCAGATAAGACCTGTTTGAAGCAGTGACACTCTCATTCAGATCAGAAAGATGAAGAGTCAGAATGCAAAGGTCTTCCCAAATGGGGAAACAATTTGGGAAGTCACACTGACGTAAGAAAGCTCTTGAGACAAATTTGAGGAAGTAAAGAAGCTGGAGCACAGTAAAGGAGGTGGGAAGACTGGCTTAAGACTGGTGGGAAGATTGGCGTAAAAAAAAACTGATTTTTTTTTTTTAAGTACACAGGGAAACCACTGAAAGATTTTAAGCAATGGAACATTATCCAGTTTGTGTTACATGCATATACATTTTATATATTAAAGATCCCATTTTGGCTGCTGTGTGAAGATGGATTTAAAGGGAGAAGCTAAGAAGCAAGCTATAGTAGTAGTCCAGGCATGGGCTGAGGTAATGGTAGAAAAACCAAAAGACATAAATGAGTTCTTAGATATATTTTAGATACATTCTGGACTTGGTGATGGATGTAGTTTAGGAGAGAAATGGAGAAACTAGGTTTCTGGCTTGATCACTAGGTGGATGGTGGTGCCAATTGTGGAGGTGGGTAGATAAGAACAGTTGTTGTGATGGGTTTTGGGGGTATTTTTTGGAGGAGGAAAGTGGGTTAAAACTTAGTTTTTGCCATGTTAGGTTTGAGATATTTATCAGGTACTCAAGTGGAAATGTCAAACAGTCAGGTGAACAGATACAAATCTGCAGTTAAGATTTGTCTGAGGTTAGTTACATACTTTTGGGAATTGTTGCTATAAGTCATATGGAAATGCAGGATACTAAGGAAGAAGAGAAAGACAGCCCAAGATCAAGCACTGAGGAACTGCAACATTTAAGGATCAGGTAGAAGAAGAGCTGACAAAGATACAGAAAATGAAAGGCCAAACAAGGAAGGAAGAAAACAAGGAGGGTATGGCAGTACAAGTCAAAAGAAAATGGTTCAAAGCAATTATGTTAAATGATGCCTAGAGTCATGTCTGACTCTAACTAAAGTAGTTTCAGTTTAGCATGGGGGAAAGTAGCCACGGTGAGTGCACATGTAGTGAAGGGTGGTATGGAAGTGAAAACAGTATGTGTAGATAATTTTTGAGAAGTCTGGCTGTGAAGGGGAGCAAAGAAATGATGGAGCAGCTGGAAGAAGAAGGGAAATTCAGGAGGAATAAGATTCTAGATCAGGGGTCCTCAAACTTTTTAAACAGGGGCCCAGTTCACTGTCCCTCAGACTGTTGGAGGGCAGGACTATAGTTTAAAAAAACTATGAACAAATTCCTATGCACACTGCACATATCTTATTTTGAAGTAAAAAAACAAACGGACAAAAACACCCGCATGTGGCCCGAGGGCCATAGTTTGAGGACGCCTGTTCTAGATGGTGTCCATATGTTGATAGGAATGACCTAGCTCAGAGAAACTGAGGAGAAAGGCATATCAGATGATTCTGTTGTTCGAAAAAAATATATGGGGAGATGTGAAACATGAATTCCCCACATTTAAAAAAAATTCCAAACCATGGAATCCAAGGTTTATGATTTGGCAGGAAGATTACAAAAAGTGGTAAAAGAACAGGAAGTCAAGCTGAACCTCAAGGGAAATCCACTCTAAAAGAATTACTATAAATTTTACTAGCTATTGCAAGGTTTGAGGAAAAGGTTACTAGCAAATGGCAAATACTTGACTGAAAAATGTGTATGATTCATGTACAATCTCATCATCCCTCTTAAGCGTCTACTTTAAAATCTTATAAATTATATATAGCCAGTACAATTAAAATATCTTTAAATTACCTACCCAGCTACTGTTAGGCACTGAAGTTCAGCTGCAATTCTAATAGGATGACTTGTTGGAATTAAGTGTTTTAGAGCAATCTTCTCTTCAGGTCCTACTCGTGACTGTGCTGTGGCCAAATAAACAGAGCTGAAAGTGCCTGTAAAACAATTTATTATATTTTTCAATTATTTGATTTTTAAAAATGTTAATGAAACAATGCTACAATAGATTATAAAACTATTTTATTGGTATATAATAGGTTATATTTATTATTTATTCTTTCTTTCCAGGGGAAAAAAGAAAAGCTGTTATTATACATAACCACAGTCTTAGTATTTAAAGAAGTGATATATTTTTCAATAATAGTAATGAAAACCAAGATTACACAAGGAAAACAGAAGGAAAATAAAACTTATAAAAATAATAAAGTATATTCCCAAAGTACCTTCTCCAATTTTGTCCTTAATCTTAAACAAATTACCAAGCTGTGGTACAGCTTCATAAAGCTTCTCAATATCTTTCTTAATGCCTATCAGGGAAACAAGAATTTATAATTATCAATGAGAGTATATTTTATAGTTTCCTAAATAAAAAAACCTCAATGAAATAAATTCTAAAACATGAGTAATTAATTACAAATAAAAGTGTAATATATCTTAAAATGACAATTAAAATTCAATCAAGTTGCTGTAATTCACACACACCACTTGAACTAACAGACAAAAATGACAGTCCCAGAATTACACACAGCAAATTTCTACCACACTGGAATTACATACTAATAGATTCATTGTTTTGCACAGACTACAACACAATGAAGAACGTAAATTTAAAAATAACTAAATATTTTGTGCTGTGATCATTAGATGACATGATAAGGACATAGTGCCCTTGAAAACTATTTCCTTCCCACAAACATATAAAATCTTACAGGCTTGGAAAAGTTTTACTACTATGTAATATTCATAGTATACTGTCAGAGAGGAAGCCTACTAAACCTCTTAGGCATGTTAAAAATAATTTAAAAATTTGTCCTGGCCGGGCGTGGTGTCTCACGTCTGTAATCCTAGCACTCTGGGAGGCTAAGGCGGGAGGATGGCTCAAGGTCAGGAGTTTGAGATCAGCTGGAGCAAGAGCCAGACCCCATCTCTAAGAAAAATAGAAAGAAATTAGCTGGACAACTAAAAATATATATAGAAAAAATTAGCCGGGCATGGTGGCACATTCCTGTAGACCTAGCTACTTGGGAGGCTGAGGCAGAAAGATTGCTTAAGCCAGGAGTTTGGTTGCTGTGAGTGAGGCCAACACCACAGCACTCTAGCCCAGGCAATAGAGTGAGACTCTGTCTCCAAAAAAAAAAAACTGTCTCAATTACTAGTACCCTCTAACCTTGATAGCAGATAAATTGCTACTTTTAAATAAATAAATATAAGCTTTTTATGAAAACATACCGTGTTTCCCCGAAAATAAGACAGGGTCTTATATTTATTTTTTCTCAAGAAGACACCCTAGGGCTTATTTTCAGGGGATGTGTTATTTTCCCCTCAAAGCCTCAGCTTGCTGCATGCACAGGATGGCCAGGACCTGACAGGGGGAGCCAACCTTGTTGGTGGGGCTACCCACACCTTTCCAGTCATCTCTGGGATAGTAGCTGTCACAATAGGGCAGATGAGAAGGGCTGCTCTTCTCTACTGCTCCATGATGAAATGCATGGGTTGTACGAATACACTGCGTAGCCACACCCATCACTAGGTCTTATTTTTGGGGTAGGGCTTATATTGTGCAAATGCTTAGAAATCCTGCTAGGGCTTATTTTATGGGTAGGTCCTATTTTCGGGGAAACATGGTACATGGCTAAAATAAGGGGAGGCAATAACACAAAATCCAATAAACTACTGGATACAAAAGAGTACTACATAAAAGTCTTCAGATTTTATTACAATATGTAGGCCAAGCATCAGCTACTTTAAATTATTATAATATTCTCCACAGCACAGCAGAGAGACATTTTTCAAATGTTTAAGACATTTTCAAAGCACTCTCACATCCATTATCTTTTCAGATTGTCACAACAGTACTGTGATATTGGCAGAATAGAAATTATTATCTTGATTTTTCAGGGAGGTTAAATAATTTGCCTAATTTCACAGAGGTACTGCCGATGTCTATAGAACTCATTCACTTAACAAACACTTTTTAAAAATGCTCAGCAATGGGCATATAAAAAATGAATAAATTTGTTGTAGCCACTGGGAGCTTAGGTCTAGCAGAGACAGATGTTATTACATGCAATACAAGGTGATAACTTTAATAAAGGAATGCATATATTATTAGGTTGGGGTGGGGGGAGATGAACACTTCCAAAGGTGCCAGAAAGCCTTCAGGGTTTAAGGGACAGCTAAGCTGTGTTCTGAAGCATTCACCAAATAGCAAAAATGTAAAAAGACATTTTAGAAAGAAGGAACTGTGATGTAAAGACATGGAAAAGGAAAAAGGCATGGATGATGGGGGGTGAGGAGAGGGCAGAGAGATAATGAAATACAATGTGGCTGAGGAGGAGAAAAGTAGAGAATGCAAATAAAAGCCATGAAAAGTTTTTTTTTTTTTTGAGACAGAGTCTCACTCTGTAGCCTGGGCTAGAGTGCCATGGCTCAGCCTAGCTCCGCTCAAACTCCTGGGCTCAAGCAATCCTTCTGCCTCAGCCTCCAAGTAGCTGGGACTTATGTGCATGTGTCACATTTTTTTTTACATATTGTTAGTTGGCCAATTAATTTCTATTTTTTTAGTAGAGATGGGTCTCACTCTTGCTCAGGCTGGTTTCAAACTCATGACCTTGAGTGATTCACCGCCTCGGCCTCCCAGAGTGCTAGGATTACAGGTGTGAGCCACTGCACCTGGCCCATAGAAAGTTTTTAAACAGGGAAAAGGACAAATGGAGAATGGACTTGAAGGGTAAGAGAAACATGAAGAGCTAGCGACCAAATAAGAGGCCAGGAAGATCTATTACAGTGTTTTTTCCATTATATCAACCCATCTAAGGAAATGGGAAGAACTTCTAACTTAAATCACCCTCACCTTCCCATCTGTTTCACAGGTGGACTATGAACCTTCATGATTGGCTTTTTTTTTTTTTTTTTTTTGAGACAGGGTCTTGCTCTGTCACCAGGGCTAGAACATACCAGCATGATCATAGTTCACTGCAACCTCAAAGTCCTGGACTTAAGTGATCCTCTTGGCTCAGCCTCCAGAGTAGCTAGGACTACAGATGCCTGCTACCATGCTTGACTAATTTTTTATTTTCCATAGAGAAGTGGGTCTCACTATGTTGCCCAGGCTGGTCTCTAACTCCTAGCCTCAAGTGATTCTCCGGCCTAGGACTCACAAAACTAGGATTACAGGTGTAAGCCACTACCCCAGGTCTTCATAGATTTCAATTCAAGAGGCAATATAACATAGCAGTTATGTGTTCCAATTTGCAGATTGGCAAGGGGAGGTTAGAATCTTGGCTCCACTATTCACCAGCCAGTATGACTTTCCTGCAGCATATAGCTTATCTCTGTGAATCTTATTTTCTCCACCTACAGAAAAGGGATAATAACAGCACCCATGCCATTTAGATACTGTGAGGATTAAATGAAATAATATATAAGTAAAGAATACAACACTATCCCAGGCACATAGTAAATATTAAATAAATGACAGTGGTAACTCTTATTGTTGTAGTTACTGTTATTAACACTATTTCTTTAGGGTTTTTACTCTCATCAGTTCTCTGCCTAAAATGCTCTTTCCTTATAACTTCATGGGTTTGCTCAACTGTCATAGCCCCTCTGACATTCTACTTAAATTAGCATTCTTTCTATTGTTTATTGTCTTCAGAGGACTTATCCACTATAAAATTATCGTGTTTACTTATTTGTTCACTGTCTGCCCTCTTCCACTAGAATATAAACTCCATCAATACAGGTTTCCTGTCTATATAATTCACCATGATATATTATACTTAGCTCCTAGTTAGAACAGTGCCTGGAACATTTATTGAATAAATAATTACTATTATAATGAACATCCAGAAGATAATTGGAGAAAAAAAAGCAAAAATTTAGAAGTCACAACGGAATGAAGTAAAAGACAATTATCAGCTACCTCACTATCAGCTATGAGACTACTTCACTCTAGAAGCCAAAACCAAGGCCTGCGGGGAAAAAGCTGGCTTTCTAGCAGCCTACAATTGCCATAGTCAATTATAATCTTTCCTAATGAGTGTTAATTCCAAACAGCTTCAAATTCCACAGTGTCACAAGGAAGACACCATGAAAGGGTAGTAAAATTGTATGTTCAATCTGATATTACACTTCTTTGTCTATAAGACAATTTTAACTCTGGAATTGGGATGCACGTTACAATTGTTGTTACCCAGCATCAGAACTTACAGAATAGGTGTCAGTGACTTGAAGAAAAATCAGAGAAGCATTCGTTTAACCCTTAAGAGCCAAATGGTTGTATGGAGGAGCAGTGGAGGTGATGAAGCATGTAGGCTAGCTCCACATACTTGGGCTCTTCTTAATAGTCCATTAACAATGGCTTTTTATTTTTTATTGGATTCCTCAAAGAAATACTGCATCACTAATGTATTCAAAGGGAAAACAGGATATCAATGAATCTAAGTGCAAAAAGTGATTCTAAAGAGACAGACCCGAAATGTTTATTTTCCTTTTTATTTACATACCAGAGATATATAATTATTTGTCTAATTAGGTCTTAAGTAATTCTTTCAGTAAATATAAAACAAAACAAATTCTAGGTGATAAGAAAGCACTATGTCATACTGTAACTGGTATTTCTGAAAAGTACATAAAATAATGGTTCATCTTATAATCAATGGAGTTTAGATATGATGAAATATTTTAAAAACCCTGTTTACAGTTGTTTTATTACTAATTGCATTCAATTGTTTGTGTGCATATTTTGTTTTGTGTATGTGATTAATAATACTGAAAGCTTTGTAGTAGGATGATATAGTTATGCTGTCCATTAGCTTCATGTAGCTATTTAAACAAATTAAAATTAAAAATCATTTTCCTAAGTTACACTAGCCATATGTGACAGTATACAAACATTTCCATTATCACAGAATGTTTTATTGGACAGCACTAATATAGAAGGACCCTAGAATCTAAAGATCTGGATTCAACTCCTGTCATAAACTACCAATTTCTTAACTTGTAAAACAAAGGGGTTGGATCAGACAAACTTTACCTTCCAACTAGAAGTCTATGGTTTTCCTATGAGCTCCACACTTTGGACTTTATCTCTGCATAAGCATGAGGTAGCAGTTAGTAGCAGAGATACTGGTTAATTGTTAGAAATCACCAGAAAGAAAATATATGTAATGAGAAAACTCTGTAATGTACAAGCCATGTGAATGACTATGTAAGCATAATGTGCTTCCACACCACTACTCATGTCCTATGTACTTAGCCATCTTTAAAAAATTCAAAATATGTTTAAGGTTTCCTGTCAATATAGAACAACTTTGATATTTTTAAACAACAGTAAAATTTCCTAAAACCAAAGTGAATGCAATATCCTCAATTTCTAAAGTGGGAAATGAGAGCAGAGGGTAGAAAAGAGCATTCATGTCACAAGTTGGACAACTGTGTTAAAGATAGAAACAAATGAATACACACTTTGAGGACTGGAGGAAGATCCTGAAAAGTCCATACCATGCTAAAAATTTATTTAAATGCCCATATTTTACACATGAGGGTCTAGGCTTCTATTTTGAAATTTTAAGTAAATTTTATTTTCTGCTACATAATATATGTTAAAGTTGGCTTTAATATAGCAAAAGCCTCCTTAACTACATTCCCTGCTTTTGTCCTTCTGGCCCACCGTCTACTTGCAACACAGCAGTCAGAGTTATCTTGTTAAAACTAAGGTACCATGTCATCATTTTGTTCAAACCCTCTAATGGTTTCACATTTCATTCCATATAAAAGCCAAAGAACACTCCTTCTCTTTACAATCTCTCTTTGACTTTACTGCAATTACCCCTTCCCCCCCCCATTCTAGCTACAATGACCTTGCTATTCCAGAATGGTAGGCACTCTCTCACCTCAGGGCCTTTGTACTTGCTGTTTCCTCTGCCTAAAGTGCTCTTCCCCAAATATCTGCCTAGCTCACTCCTTCACCACCTAGAAGTCTTAGCTCAAATGTTAATTCACTGAAGTCTTCTGACCAACTACACTTATTAAAATCAATCTCCTTCCCATCTCCCTTTCCCTTCTATATCATCTTCACAACAGTAATCACTTTTGAACATAGTATTTCTTTTGTTTATTGTCTCTTTCAACTAGCTCGAGGGTGTTGATTTCTGTTTTATGAATTGATTTATTTCTAGCACCTAGAAAAGTATGTGCACATAAGAGATGCTTAATAATTGTTCATCATATAAATCAAATGTTTTCAATATCATACTATGGAATAAAACGGACACTCCGGGAATACAGTCATATTTATTCCAGGGCTTCATGTACTCTTTGATTTACATCTCCTATAACTAGGGGATCATAAAATTTAGTTCAAACTGGTACACTCTTGAGAGTGAAAGGGAGTACCAATAATTACATTATAACAACAGATGTAAACTGGATCTGTCCTAGTCAAACCAAGATGGTACCTATAACCCCATTTTAAAAGCATGGGCTAAGGGCATCCATGTAAACACACAGAAAGCAAGCCTTCCCATACAGATCAACACTGTGGAGAAGACATTCAGTATATATTAATAACTAGTTTGTACTTCATTCTTTCACTGAACAGATCTTTCTCACTTACTAAACTTGGCATATATTAGATACTCTAAAAAAAAGCCTTCTGAAACAATGAAAGAATAAACATTTGACCAATATTATGCCAGATAGTTTGTGCACTGCAGTATTTTCTTAATAGGAAAAAATGGAAAATGATCTAAAGGTCCAACAATAAAAAGTAATTAAATTACAGCATACTATATAATGAAACTTAAATCAAGTTATAGAAAATCAAGTTGTAGAAAAACTACATGAGAAATGTTCAAGATATATATTAAGCAAAAAATGGAGATTAGAAATAAGTGAAGATCTGGATTTCATTTTTTAAAAATGTATCTATGCATAGGAAGACTAAAGAAATATAACAAAATGTTAACAGTGGCAATATTTGAATAATGGGAAAATATTTTATTTTGGCTTTCTATACTTCCTAAATTTTCTTCAATAAGCATGTATAATTTTTATTAGAAAAAATGTTAGAAAAATCTGATGAATATCTCAAAACAAAATGCCAGGCTATTCATCCACTAAGTATTTTACTTTATATTGTAACATTAAATCATTCATTCAAATATTTTCAAGTACCTACTATGTGCTAGACACTGTTAGGTTCTGGGAATGTAAAGATATATAAAAAAACATAACTACAATAAGGAGTAAAGCTGGTGAGGTCCAGGCAAATCACTGTCTCATGGTCTAATTTGATTGACTTTCCCAATTAGATCAAAAGACAGTGATGTGCCTGGACCTCATCAGCTTTACTCCTTACTGACGTAATGTTTTTTATATAACGTTAGTTTTTATTAAGAGTCATATAAAAAAAGAATTATATGAGTAAAGTTTCAGCATGTTTTATAAATTATCATAGACATCATTTATAATGTCCAATGTTCTGTTACATAAAGGCTATAATACTTTTGAAATTTGGAATAAAATTCACTCCACTCTTAATTTCTCAGCAGCTTTTTCAGAATATTAGAATAGTACCATTCTCCTGAACATAATCCTAGAACCAAATCAGAGTCATCTATTCATATCCCACTTAAGGCACAAATACGTCAGAAACTATAAGAGATACTACCTTCAAGGAGCTTATACTATAAACTGAAGAGTCAAAACACACAGTGCTATACAATACAAGAATAATGCAATGACTATGTTATTGTATTATGTGTCTAAAGACTAGTAAGGGAAAGCTACACTGTGAAAACCAGGTAATTGTAAGAAAAAAATGGAAGGGAAAAGGAACCAGCATCCATGTAACTGGATGAAAGTGGCATTTTAAGATTCTTCTATTCTGGCCGGGGGCAGTAATCCTAGCTCTCTGGGAGGCCGAGGCGGGCGGATTGCTCAAGGTCAGGAGTTCAAAACCAGCCTGAGCAAGAGGGAGACCCGTCTCTACTATAAATAGAAAGAAATTAATTGGCCAACTATATATAAAAAATTAGCCAGGCATGGTGGTGCATGCCTGTAGTCCCAGCTACTCGGGAGGCTGAGGCAGAAGGATCGCTTGAGCCCAGGAGTTTGAGGTTGCTGTGAGCTAGGCTGACACCACGGCACTCATCCTAGCCCTAGACAACAAAGCGAGATTCTGTCTAAAAAAAAAAAAAAAAAGATTCTTCTATTCTAGCTGTTCTTTGGAAGAGTAAATTTAAAAAAAGATTATTCTAATAGCAGTGTACAGATAAACTGGAGGATGGAAAAGAAGTGAAAGTCAGCAGTTTAGGTAAGAAACTTCGTAATTCAGGAACAAAGTGTAGGAAAATGAATTAATGTGGCAGAAAATGGGAATGGAAAGAAGATGCAAAGCCATCCATATTAAGAGGAAGATAAAGTTTGTTGACTGGATATACTGAGCAAATAAAAAGCATGCTGAAGATAACTCTAAAGTTTTAAGTATAGATAACTGGGATAACAGTGGCTTTCATCAAAGTAAAAGTATGTGATGCCTTATTTTTCTAGGATGAGGTTAAAGTATTTTGTAGTGTATAAACTACATATTGTGGACGACAGTTCAAAATTAATATCTTTTGGACAAGCACAAAATTCACTTAAGACAAAGATGGAGAAGAAGATTTAGCTACTTTTTAGGGGGAAAAACAGTCAACTGGAACTATTCTATTTAACAAACATTAAGTGCCTACTAAGTCCCAGGTCCTGTGCTAAAGCAGGAATGAGGATACACATTTTAGTGTACAAGAGCAGGTATTGTTTGCCCCTCTCCTCCTCACCTCAAACAACACCTCATGATGTACACTGAAATATGGTGCTTTATTATTGCTACAAACATTTCATTTATTTTTGTCAGTGAATTCTGCTTTTGAATACTTAAGTAAAGATTCCTCCAGGGTCCACTTGTAAATCCAAGTTTAATGGTAAGTAAAGAGAAGAACATAAGTCTAGAAGAAGACATATTCTAGGGTGGGCATCAACAAACGTTTGTGTTCTTACACAGTCATTAATATTTTTGCCTTAGCAACTTCACCTGTACAGCGAAGGTTGAATTATGATCCTACTAAATGCAATTCAATCCTAAATCTAGATCTTAGGAAGCTTTGTAAAATGCTTCTTCTATATAAACATACAACTCACTTTGTTGCCTGTACATCTCTGAAACCGTACATCTTTGGAATCAAACACATACCTGGAAGTTTAAAATTCGGCTCGTATTTTTTTACAGAACCATCAGCCTGAAATCGGTCACCCGGGGGAGAAAAAGCCATTGGCTCATCCATCGGAATTCCCAAAGACGCCCGGGATGCAAAATAAAGGGTCACATCCACAGCGGGAGCAAAGCAGCTGTGAAAATGATAACACTGGAGAAGTTAAGTTTAGATCATTTACTCAACCAAGCACTAAAAGATGCCACTGCCCTCAAAGGGGCAAACATTTTAAAATGCACCATGTGTCTAAAAGCCCAAAGGAAGGAAAATTGTAGTCCTTTCTAAGGAATTTCATTTACTTTTCTTTCACCTTCTAGAAATACCAGGCCAAAGGGAGAATCTCCAGTTGAGGGAGCCTCCTCAGCAGCCGGCGGCGGTGGGAAGTGGGGTTGGGGGCTGCTGCTGCGAACCGGCCTGCTGGACGGTGTGGGGTAGGAGGCAGTTTGACCTGAGGAAAAGTGCCGAGAGAGGAAATCGTTTGACCACTGAAAGGGAGCGCCAGGAAGCTTGCCCAAGGCCCCACCCAAGTTACTGGAGAACTGACATGACACTGGCCACGAGCGCCCGGCAAAAAAGAAGAGGGAATGAATGGGAACCATTCCGGGAGCGCGGGCCGCGAGCTCGGCAGGGAAGGACCTTCTTCCTCAGACCGCGACCCAACCGGATGCTTACTGCGCAGGCGCGCCACTTTCCCGCCGCAGGTCGGAGGGACTGAAGGGGGCAGGGGACGGAACTGCACTGCGACAAAACTGAAGTCACGATCCAGAATTCGCTTCTAATCCCTCACAATCCCGCGCCATGGAACAAACCGTCGGAAACTCACGGTTTATGAGAGTACGACTTCTGTGGCTCCCCAGATGCCTGGGTCGCCGCCTCCAAGAGTTCCCCACCTAGAGAGTCCACCAAGTGCGCCTGCGCAACTCTTCCCGCCGCGCCGGTTCTAGTTGCTCATGCGCATTACAAAGCCCTCGGCGACGCGACTCCACCACTGAGCGCTTGCGCAAGAGCGTTGGGTTTTTTTCCCGAGGCCTTGGCGAACTAAATGAACGGTTACAGAAATAAAGCTTTGGGATAATCCTTTCTTAAAAAATACGGTGAACCTTAAGGTTACGGGCCCAACGCTCTTTTCAGGAAAGACTATTTTCAGGAAAGACTTTCCGGAAAATCTCAGATCCTGGAGTTGTGACACATCCCCACACACTGTGGCAACACAAGACATTGGGCACTCTATGGATAAAAGATAGTCACTTTCTTGATTTTTTCTTACTTTTTGTTGAGTGCCCTACTTCTCCATTAAAAATAAACAAAAATTGCTGATTGCTGATAGTTTACGGCTGCGTTAGAAGTGAGCACAGTGGAAGGCAGGCACATATTGTATAGTATTTATTGAGCCCTTAGCTAAGAGGTAGGCAGATTTCTAGGAGCTGCTCTTACAGCGGGACAAACGCCATCCCTCTATTAAGCTAAATTCCAGTGAGGTATTGACAATAAATGAATAAATGAACAATATTCCTTTAAATTTTGATTGGTACTCTGAAGGAAACATTATAAAATGAAAGAATGTGATAGTGACCAGGCAAGCAGCATCTTGATGAGATGATCAGGGAAGGCCCCTCAGAGAAGAGACCCGCATGAAAAGCTGATAAGGAGAGAGGCCATAGGTCAGGCAAAGGACAGAGCAAGTGCAAAGATAGGGGGAGCTTGGTATGTCTGAGGGGGGAAAAGGCCAGCGCTGGTGAAGCATAGTGAGTGGGGGGAATATAGTTGAGATGAGGGTGAAAAGTTAGGCTGAAGCCAGGCCATATACGGCTTTGAAAGCCAGGGTAAGAAGGTTGGCTTTTATTCTAAGTACAATGGGAAGCTATTTGAAAGTTTTAAAGCAGGGGAGTGATATGATCTGATAAGAGAATGGATTGTAGAGGGGCAAAAGTGGAAGGAGAAGAAAATAGAAGACTACTTTGTATTTAAGAGAGAGAAAATAGTGGTTTGAACCAGAACTACGGTAGAAGAAAAAAGACGTGGAATTTAGTGATTGGCTGTGGAAGATGAGGAAAATGGCATCATCATGGTGAATCTCAGGTTTTGGGGTGAGAACGTCTGTGGATGCTGGTGCCACATAGAAGGGAAGGCTGTAAAGTAAAGGTTTTTGGTTGGGTAAGGTGGGAGGAGAGTAAATCAAGAGTTCCAGTGTGGATACTGAGAAGAGAAAAGTAGACTATGACATCTAGGAAATGGCCTGGTACTACTAGGTTGGCTTGGTATTACTTCAGCCTACCCTGGCAATCACAGCTGGGCGTTGGTGTTCTTCTTTTAAACATAACAATTTTAGAGAACAGCAACATCAGACAAGGCCACTCTATGACCATGATGGATCAAGACAAAAATAAGGTCACTCTGTAATTTTGTCTGAACACAGACAAAATGTAAACATTATTCAAGCCACGAAAATGACCAAACATCTCCCTATCCTGGCTAACATGAGTGCCTGCTGCTTCTTTACCAATTATAATTTTAGTCTCAGTCTAGTCTTCTTCCTTCTAGATAATTCTTATTAAAACGCCCAATTATAGAATTATCCCTACTTCCTTACAGCTTCTAATCCAGACCAAAATCCTTCTTTCCTGAACCCTTCTATAAATCACCTAACACAGGCTCAAATTCTACAAGTCCTTTCTAATGCATTCTTGCTGAAATGCCCCATTATTCCCCATGGTGTATATTCTCATTTACTGAAACAAGTAATAAACCCAACTTGTTCAGCTATGGTTATGTTCCTGATGTTCTTTGTCTGGAGGGCATTGACAATAATCAAGTCCAAGATGCCTATTAGATAAGCAAGTGATGATGTCAAGTAAACAGATGAATATATTGATCTGGAATATAGTTTAGGCTGAAGATATAAATTTGAAAGTCATGAATTTATAGAATTTGTAGATGAAATTTAGTCTTGAACTACATGATATCATTTTGTTGTTGTTGTTGTTTGCTTTTTATTTTTGTTTTTGTTTTTGAGATGAGGTCTTGCTATATTGCCCAGGCTAGTCACAAATTCCTGGGCTCAAGCAATCCTCCTGCCTCAGCCTCCCAAGTAATATTATCTAAACAAAGATTGTAGGCCTGGTGTGGTGGCTCATGCCTGTACTCCTAGCAGTCTTGGAGGCCAAGGCAGGAGGATCGTTTGAGCTCAGGAATTCTAGACCAGCCTGAGCAAGAGCAAGACCCTGTCTCTACTAAAAAAATTGAAATAAATTAGCTGGATAATAAAAATATAGAGAAAAAATTAGCTGGGCATGGTGGCACATGCCTATAGTCCCAGCTACTTGGGAGGCTGAGGCAGAAGCATTGCTCGAGCTCAGGAGTTGAGGTTGCTGTGAGCTAGGCTGATGCCATAACACTCTAGTCTGGGCAACAGAGTGAGATTCTGTCTCAAAAAAAAAAAAAAGATTGTAAATAGAGAACTGGGCTATGATAATTTCCAACATTGCAAAGTTGAGCAGAGGAGGAGGAAGAGCCAGCAAGAGAAGGAGTAGCCTGGGAGGTAAGAAGGCGATGTCATAAAACTCAAGAGAAGAAGGTTTTACAGACAGAGGGGAGTGGTCAGCTATGGCAAATGCTACATGGAAGTCAAGTAGTGAGGACACAGAATTGACCAGAGAGAATCATTAGAACTTCTGGCAAGAGTAGTTTTAGAAATATAATGAGGCAGAAAGACTATATTGAAGAACAAAAGATCTACAAGTGGAGACCGCTCTTGAGGTTTTGTTTATTTTCTAATTTGGTTGGTTTCTTATCTTTGGGAAGAGGGGTAAGGGGAGGAATAGAATGGCAGCTAGAGTGTTCTATGGTCCCAAACTATGTCAGAGGAAATACAATGAGTATGTCAAATAACAGTTTTGACTTCTCCATCTTCAAAGGTAAGAGATAGAGAATGGAGAGGGGACAGAGTAAGCAAAGAAAGAGAAAGTAGAAGAAGAAAAGGGAGGCCAGGCATGGTGACTCACACCTGTAATATCAGCACTTTGGGGGGCTGAGACAGGAGGATTGCTTGAGCCAACATGTTCAAGACCAGTCTGAACAATATAGTGAGACCCTGTCTCTACCAAAAATTAGCCAGGTATGGTGGCACACACCTGTAGTCCCAGCTACTCAGAAGGCTGAGGCAGGAGGATGGCTTGAGACCAGGAGTTTGAAGCTCCAGTTGGCTATGATCATGCCACTTCACTCCAGCTTGGGCAACAGAGCAAGACCCTGTCTCTTAAAAAAAGGAAATGAAAAGAGAATTAACATGTGCAAAGAAGACTATGCTGCTTTAATCTTAGATTAGTCTAGATTTCTGTAGGGAAGGGATAACGGAGATGGGGGAGAGCATGGGAGCCTTCACTTCAAACAGGGATGAAGACAGAGGTTGGTAAGTCCTGTCTCTGGATAGGGAAGTGAAAAACTTAAGAGGAGAATGACTGGACAGTGCTTATGGGAAGATTGGCTCTCAGGAGCAAAGGACCAGGTGGACTGAACAATGAGCACCTCATTATTAACAAGTGTCCTCCCCACGCTTTTGGTGCCGCACAAGACACCTCCTTGGACCTCTGCAGGATCTGGGCAAGAGATGGAGGGGAGGTAGATAATGAATTTCCTACAACCTCAGCATAATGGTGGCTCAGAGGTAAGTTAAATAGATTCAGATAATGAAATTTGTCATTTTTTTGAATAGTTGAATTGGACAGTCAGAACTTGTCAGGACAGTAGATGAGTAGGGACTTTTAATTCTAGTCTTTATGTCCCAAAACCTATGTATTTTCTGTTGAGGAAGGGAGAAAGTTACAGGACAATTAGCTATTCTCTACCTGAGCTGGGGCCCAGGTACTATATATAATATCAAATCCTTCTATTTATCTAGTTATTTTAAAATCCCTACCTTGTTCTGAAGTAGTTGTCAGCAAAACTCTTCTCACTCCTTGACACACAACGTTCTCAAAACCTTTTACTCCTGATTGCTAAGTAAAGCAGAAATGTTCATTTGACAAATAAAGATTAATTTAGGGCTGTCCTCCAAGGTGACTAAGAGTGACTTCCAGTGTCACAGTCACACAGTCCTGGGTAAAAGAATAAACTTATTGGGGAAAGTTATTAACTAAGGATTAGCAAGAGAAGCCATGGACCTGTTTTTGCCAGTGAGGTTGTAGGAGGGTCTGTGTTAGGCAAAAGGATGCTGCCCTCCTATTGTTCTCCTTACTTATAAGGAACACACTAACAATCTTATTATGGAGTTCAAACTACTTAGACACCAGAGAGTCTACGTTTAGATGCCAAGTGATGATGAGTTGTCTGGGAAAACCACATGTCCAGCAACTGGAGACCTTGGGGCCTGTGGAAATTGGAGGTGGGTGTAGTCTCTCACTTTAGGAGAAATGGAAAGTCCCTGGTCAGTTGTACAGCCAACTCAGAATAAGTTCCCAACACAACTTTCAAATAATTCTGCTTATCTGCTTATCTCTCTCTCCATGGAAGTACCTGCTAAAGGACCTTCTTCCACCCAACAAAAAGAAAGATAGAAACATCTAATGTACAAAAGGAAAAGTTACTGGAAGTTTTATCCACTTCTCCCTTTTTTAACTCCCCTATTAAGCTGAAACAAATAACTGAAACATTCTCTTAGAAACTCCTCAAAGGTAGGCAACCTAGGATAAAGATAAAGCAAATACATAGCTTTTGAATATGAATAGTAATTTTCTTTCAGGCAATAGTCTAGTAAATAAAAAAATTCCCAGGTCATAAAAGAAAATCCTAGCCATTCACTGTAAAATAGACATAGGACAAAACACTTAGAATTTCATGGGGAAATTTTCTTAATTCAAAAATAAAGTTATAAATCATATAAAAAATCAAAGCCAGGCACAGTCGTGCTCACCTGTAGTCCCAGCTGCTCATAAGGCTGAGGCATGAAGTTTGCTTGAGCCCAGGAGTTTGAGGCCAGCCTAGACAACATTTCAAAATATATATATATTAGAACTAATGAAATGGTTCAGCAAAGTTGTTGGCTTAAAAAAAAATTTAAAAATCAGAGAACTATGAGTCAATTTTGAAACTGCAGTGGAACAGCAAGGACTTTTAAAATACACACAAAAGTCCACAAACGTACCAAAGTTCAGTCTCTCAATTATTTAATAGTAATGTGGGAAGAAAAAATAAAATGTTACACAGACCAAATAATGGTTAAAGCTTCTAGTAGACCTCATAGAAGACCCCTAATATTTTAATTTATTTATGCATTCAATAAATGTCTTCTCACATTTGCTGTGCCCAGCCATACAATAAATACCTGCAATATGCAGATGACTAAGAAGGGAACTCCACCTTTAAGTAGCTTGAAGTCTATCTATATAAGCAGTAAAGCAGAAAGTTTTCATATTTGTCCTTTATAACCCAGTGTTGAACATCTCTTTTTCAGGGAAGGTTCACCAACTAAATAGGTTGAGTCCTTGGGTGCACGTTTCCATAGCACCCTGTACTCCTGCCATTACCACATTTTTAAATAATTCCTTGTTAATGTCATTCTTTCTCATTACACTTGTTTTGTTCTAGTAGAGGAGAGATGAGGCCTGTCTTATGTATGCACTCTGGTATAACAACTATTTACATAGCATTTATATTATATTAGGTATTATAAGTAATCAAGAGATTATTTAAAGCATATGAGAGGATTAAATAGGTTATATGCAAATACTACACCATTTTATTTAAGGGATTTGAGAGCATCTATGGATTTTGGTATCTGTGAGGGGTCCTGGAACCAATCCCATATGAATATTAAGGAATGACTGTATTGGCCGGGTGTGGTGGCTCACGCCTGTAATCCTAGCTCTCTGGGAGGCTGAGGTGGGAGGCTGGCTCAAGATCAGGAGTTCAAAACCAGCCTGAGCAAGAGCAAGACCCCGTCTCTACTAAAAATAGAAACCAATTAATTGGCCAATTAAAAATATATAGAAAAAATTAGCCGGGCATGGGGGCACATGCCTGTAGTCCCAGCTACTTGGGAGGCTGAGGCAGAAACATTGCTTGAGCCCAGAGTTTGAGGTTGCTGTGAGCTAGGCTGACGCCATGGCACTCTAGCCCAGGCAACAGAGTGAGACTCTGTCTCAAAAAAAAAAAAAAAAAAAAAGAGGCTGGGCCCGGTGGCTCATGCCTGTAATCCTAGCTCTCTGGGAGGCCGAAGCGGGCGGATTGCTCAAAGTCAGGAGTTAGAAACTAGCCCTGTCTCTACTATAAATAGAAAGAAATTAATTGGCCAACTAATATATATAGAAAAAAATTAGCCAGGCATGGTGGCACACGCCTGTAGTCCCAGCTACTCAGGAGGCTGAGGCAGGAGGATTGCTTGAGCCCAGGAGATTGAGGTTGCTGTGAGCTAGGCTGATGCCACGGCACTCACTCTAGCCTAGGCAAAAAAAAGGATGACTGTATCACATTTTGCTTATCCATTTATCCATTGATGGACACTTGGTTTTTAGCTATTATGAATAATGCTGTTATGAATGTGGATATATAGATATTTCTTCAATACCCTTTCAGTTCTTTGGGGTATGTACCCAGAAGTGGAATTGCTAGATCATATGGTAATTCTATGTTTAACTTTTAAATGAACTACCACACTGTCTTCCACAGCAGCTGCACCATTTCACATTCCCACCAACAGTATACAAGGTTCCAATTTCTTCCCATCTTTGCCAACATTTGATTTTTGATAGTACCCATTCCAATGAGTGTGAGGTGGTATCTCATTGTGGTTTTGATTCACACTTCTCTTATAATTAGTGATGTTGAGTATCTTTTCATGTGTTTGTTTGGCCATTCATATATCTTGTTTAGAGAAAATTCTATTCTTGAATAGAATATTCAATATTTTGAATTGGGTTGTTTGTTTTTTATTGTTGAGTTTAGAAGTTCTCTATACGTTCTGCGTATCAATCCCTTATCAAATATACAATTTTTCAATATTTTCTTCCATTGTGTGGGCTGCCTTTTTACTTTGTTGATAGTGTCTTTGGTGCACAGAAGATTTTAATTTTCATGAAGTCCAATTTGTCTATTTTTTCTTTTGTTGCCTGTGCTTTTGATGTCATATATAAGAAATCATTGTCAAATCAAATGTTGAAAAACTTTGGTCCTCTGTTTTTTTCTAGTAGTTCTATAGTTTTAGCTCTATGTTTAGATCTTTGATCTATTTTGAGTTAATTTTTGTGTATGATGTTCATTAAAAGTCCAACTTCATACTTTTGCATATAGATATCCAATTTTCCCAGCAGAGTGCAACTATATTTTTTATTTTTATTTTATTTTTTCAGACAGAGTCTCTGTTATAATGGGTAGAGTGCAGTGGTGTCATCATAGCTCACTGAAACCTTGAACTCCTGGGCTCAAACAATCCTCTTGCCTCAGCCTCCTGAGTCCCTGGGACTACAGGCGTGCACCACCATGCCTGGCTAATTTTTCTATTTTTTGTAGAGATGGGCTCTCGCTTTTGCTCAGGCTGGTATCGAGCTCCTGATCTCAAGCAATCCTCCTACCTTGGCCTCCCAGAGTGCTACAATTACAGGCACGAGCCACTGCACCTGGCCAACAACTATATTTTTTAATAAAGTTTTCCCAACATAACTAGCAAATAAATTTCTCAGGCTAAGTTCAATTTGAAAGTACAGATAATCTCACACTCCATTATTGGAAAGAAGATATTAATTTGTGTCTTATTGTGTTGTACTATATTTTAAAGAGGTATAAACCTCTCAAGAATAGGTTAAAAAAAATTTTTTTAAAATGAAGCCAAGCAGTTTGGTATCATAATTACCTATCTATCTTGTGGTCTTTTCTATCTGTCCATCTATCCTTTTTTGCGGTACCTGTGGGTAGTTGCAACCTAGTTTAAAAAACTAAAAACATGAAGAATGGGAAGCTTTGTGGGAAATCTACCAAAGAAAAAGTATTTATAGTATGAAATAAATCTGCTGTACTTGAAGGTAATTGTAGCATACAAAGAAAACAAATAACATATATTTTCCCCCCTAAAACATACATATTCCAAACACTCTGGAAAAAACCCTGTTATCATTACTAAAATTCAGAGAGACCAAATTCATATTTTAAAAAATTAAATACAAACTTATGAAAGCTGAGATTTCTGTACATTCATGGGATTCCAATATATAGTAAAATACTATCAGGACTGGGAGGTCAAGCACTGTGATATGTCAAGTCTCATCTCCAGGGACTGAAGCTTGCTAGCATCTGGCACCACTCTGAAACAGGCTGACAATTTCAGTTCAGCCATTAATAGGAAAAATACCCACTACAATGAAGTCATAACGGTTTGACTTCCAATTGTTTGTTATCTTTTAAAGAAGATGATTTACAGTTTCAAAAAATCCCTAGAAATTCCAAGGTCCTGAACCTTTGTGTTGGTGCCTTTTTGCTAGAAAAGAAATCTGCGTAGGAATAATTTTAAAAGTGATATGTCAGTATTGTATAAAACTTTTCATATTCCTGGTTTTAAATTCCAGAATAAGATTGTAATTAGTCGACTTTTATTTTAACAACTTAAAGTTGTGAATGTTTATTATTAAAGGGAATTTATTAAGACACAGTTTAATACATCAGTGTTAATTGGGGTTTAGTACTAGTTATTTTTCAGATTTAGAACAAATATCTTCCTAGTTTTAGGTTTTAAATACAATATTTTATTCTAAAGAAGATCTTTTCAGTTAGGTTGTCAATGTCTGCCCCTCCTCCAAAATACTAAGGTAAAATTTAAAATGGAGCCACAGGCACAATTTACTCTGAAGCTTTAAACACAGCAATAAACTTAATCCTCATAAGTTTGGTGTTGGAGCATCACATGGTCTGAGAACTAAACATCAAATCCCCAGGTGCCGAATCAAGCCTGCCACCTGTTTTTGTATATATTGCAAGCTAAGAATGGATTTTACATTTTTAAATAATTGAAAAAAATTATAAGAGAATATTTTGTGACACTTGAAAATTATTTGAAAATCAAATTTCAGTGTCCATAAATAAAGTTTTATTGGAACATGGCCACACTCATTAGTTCAGTATTATCTAAGGCTGTTTTCATCCTACAATGGCGGAGTTGAGTAGTTGCCACAGAGATGTGTAGCCTGTAAAATCTAAAATATTTACTAGCTGGCCCTTTAAGAAAAAGTTTGCCAAATCCCAAGGCCCCACTATAGCAGTTTACATTGTGGCATGGATATATAAATAAAACAAATGTCACTAAGCAGTGCAGGGTAAATTTTTACCATGCAATAAATTGATTATTTCATATGGAGAAAGAAAGCATACAAATACTTACTTTAGTATTTAATTATAACAGTTAAGAAGTGTGACTAGTGCTTTCTAATGGTAGTTTATTTTTCTTGACAGAAGAGCCCCAATTTACTTTCTCCATGTGAAAAAATATGTTTATTCCACGATCCTCCACAAAGCAGAGATGAAGTACTGCATGAATCTATATGCTGACTATGTTAACAGTATGACTATGGGTGGACAGTGGTTTTGGTGTTTAATTTTGGTGTGAGGAAGGAAGAGAAACCAGCAAGTACTTGGTGCCTGTTTGAAGTGCAGGGAAAGATAGACTAAGTCTTTGCTTGCTGCCACTCATATAGCTGGGAATGGGCTGTGGTAATGCCAATAAAATTACTTCCACATCCTTCAGTGGCAGTGATTCTAATCCTTCTTAACAGTTCAAGTTCTGTGTTGTTACTCATGTATTCTTATGCATTCTTCTCTCCCTAGCCCCATGAAAAGAATAGAGTACTACAAGTGTCTCAAAATGTAGAGCTCCAAATCATGACACCTCTTTAGAAAGCAGACAGGTCCTCTGAATGTTATAACTAGGGTTATATCCTCACTATCTAGAAATACACCCCGTGGTCATCTCTCAAAAAGGGGAACTGTGATCTCAGAG